TAGAGCTCTCAGTTTTGATTTCAGGACTCTCCTAATAAGAACCTTGATTTACGAAGTTGTAAACTTCTGGAACTAATGGTGAAGTGCTCCATTTGAAAAAAAGAGCCACACCGCCATCTGGTGATCATCACAATTATTCTTTTTTAGTCATTTGTTTTTGTTTTTGATTATTGGGAGAAAACTCATTCGTTTCTTAACTTGTTGACATCTTTTTCCTGCAGTGCCTTTTCTTTGTAGCATCCCTTCCTGGAAAGGACCTACTTTGTTTCTACTTTTCATTTTGATAAAGAACGAATGTTTGCATCTACATCCCCATTCAGCTGTCTGATAATTTCCTGGCAATAATTTCCTAAGAAAGGGTCAAAGATTATTGTTTAATGTAAAGCGTTGCATATGCATTTTCCAATTGTCCTTGCAGGGAACAGAAAAAGAGGATAGACTCCTCGCCTCACTTTAAAGGGCAGCACAACTTGGATGCCCAAACCTGAGAAGGACATTATAAGGAATGAAAACTATAGGATACCATGTTAGGAAGCTGAATCGATTTCTCTCGCCCCCTCTCTACCCATCTATCTATTTAATGGCATATTACAACCATATTGTTTATTTCCATAACTCGAGTTTGATTAATGTGTAAAAGTAAACTGTTGACAACCACCACACTGTCAGCACACGCCAAGCTCAGTGATGCAGAACGTGCATTTGAGAAGGACGTGGGTGCAAGTGTTTATTTGGAAGACGATCCCAGGAAATCCAAGTGAGGAAACTGGGAAAGTGAGGCAAAGGTGGAAGAGAAGCGAGAAAAAAAGTGCAGTGCCCGGCTGGTGTGGCTCCGTGGTTGAGCGCTGGCCTATGAACCAGGAGGTTAGGATTCAATTCCCCATCAGGGCACATGCCTAGCTTGCAGGCTCTGAATGGGGCCAGTGTGCTTTGGCCCCTGCAAAGCAGGTAGTGCTCTGAGGCTCACTTGAAAACGAATCGCATTGGGAGGGATTCAGGGATCAATGAGCCACCATTTGGGGGCCTTGTCACGAGGAGAAGGTTCCTGGTGCTTCCAAATTGCTCTGTTTCTTGGGGTGAATTTCAGAGCCCCCTGGATGCCAGCTCCTGCGTCCTCATGCCCCATGTTGTGATGCCCATGAAAGCACACTGACCATCCAATCTATTCTTGAACACTTACAGTCCCAATACAGGCAGTCTGGTCTGTTGTGGGACATTCTTAACTAATAGAAAGCCCTTTTATCTGAGCTGTAACCTCTCTCCCTGTGACCACCATGCACCGATTTTGGTTACATCAGAGGCCGTGCAGCACACTGTGCATGTTCACGATTTGTTCGCAGCGATCAAAATGTAAAATACGCGTACACTTTGGCCAACACTTCTAGGAATCTGTTCTGCAGACACACGGACAAAGCTTCTATATCTATAAAACCCTAATATGCAAATAGACTCAACGGTGGAACAACCGAACAACTGGTCCCACACTGTCAGCGGGAGGGAGGGGGATGAGGTTGTTATTAGGTCATTGAGCCCTCATGAATGGGATTAGGCCCTTACAGAAAAGGGTTCTCTCCAGGACAGGACCACGTGGCATCCCGTGCTTGGTCTTTTAGCTTCCAGAACTGTGAGAAATAAATTTATGTTTCTGATAAGCCACCCAGTCTATGTAATTTGTTGTAGCAGCCTGAATGGATTGAGACACCACCCTTTCCTCCTGTATCAGAAAAGAAAGGTCCTCTTTAGACCCCACTTTCCCTCTGTGTTCTAGATCCTAGTCATCCCACTTCACTGGGGTCTTTTGTGCAATACCAACAGCCCCTGTTCCCTGTACACAGCTGTGTTCTAAGACACGGAGCCATCAAAATCTTTGCACTCACACATACTCATCCGCTTGTCTGCAAACATCACACCAGCACCAAAGTTGAGGGGTGATGGATGGTAGGGGCACCATCGCAGTTACAACAAGCATTACTTCATGATACTGAGATGGGCACTGCCCTCACCTAGAGATGAAAAGAGATGGGAGGTAAACCCCATAGTGAGAGAATCCATTTTCACTTGTGGATGCCAGGACCTACCCCCTTGCTGGCCTGAGCTGACTCTGAGGCGAGTAGCAGATCGAAAAGGCACTGGGTGAAGAATATAGGAAGACATCCACTGTGTTCCCATAATTTCGGAATCAGTCAGGGCTCCATAAAAAAATGGTTTAAACTTTGATGGGAAATGGGGAGACATGAGAATCTCTATGGCTGAGCACCTGAGAAAAGAATGTTTGCGTGTGAGCTGTTTAAATAAATGAGGCTGACATTTGGCAGCTGCTGTGTGATATCAGCCTAGGGTCACAGTGACTTTGGCATTGCTCGAATGGAGTCATTTTTCTGGCTTTTGTATAAAAGTGTCGCTGATCACTTCTTCCTACTAGAAACGCCTTCTTGGCACCAATGACAACCCACTCTCCTGGTTTCCTTATTTCCTGGACTGTTCCTTCTCTGTTTCCTTCCTGAGTTGTTTCTTCTCCCCTGTCTCTGGTGAACTCATCCATCTCCTGGTTTTACCTACGTCTGTGCTGAGGACTTTCCAACTCTACCACCAGCCCAGCTCCTCCACAGAGCTTCAAAATCATAGCCAAACACCTGCATTTGGCCGCCTCCATCTGATGTCAAGCTTTGCCACTAGCCGCTCTTTTTGTCTTCCCCTGTGTCTCCCTTCAGATGCAAGAGAACATCTTTTTGTTTGTTTGTTTATTGTGAAAACCTTGTTTACCTGCTGAGATCACCAGTGGAGCCCGACAACCACATGTGGGCCATTTCACAGAGGGCACGATGCACATACCTGTCTTTGAGGTAAAAGGCAAGCAGAGACCAGAGGTTAAGACTTAGCAGAAACTCTAGAAGACGAGGCTGGAGTGACGAGGGAAAGGAGTCAAAGGCTGGCCCCGCAGTCTTCGGTGCTCTCTGAGACTCATCTGGAAAAAACATCACATTTGGAAGGGCCCGGGGCCAAATGAGCCACGTTTGAGAGGTTTTCCCAAGGGCGAATTTCAGAGATTCCTTAGATGTCAGCTTCTTTAATGACCTCTACAGAATCCAGATCACCAACTCTATTTTTGAAAACTTATTACTCCAACCCAGGCAACCTGACCTGATGCGGGTTATTTTTAACTCTGAGGAAGCACTGTATTTTTAACTACGGTCTAGCTCCCCATGATGGCCAGGAACTGATTTTATATGTCAGAGGTAGCTCAACGTGCTTGTGCACACAATGGACAATTTGTTAGTAGTTACCAAAATGTGAAATGTGCATATCCCTTGGCCAGTAGTCTCACCTCTAGGAATGTATTCTGCAGATATATGAACAAAAGTGTACAAAGGTGTATGAGGATGTTCACTGGTGAACTGTAGTAGTTCTTTTCCTCATTGGCTCAGGCTCATGAGGGTCACAAATGTTAAATCATGTATCATGCAAGGTAGGTTGGTAGGTACCACAAGAAAACCACCAAGTAATATTAAAAGGATCTGGCTGTTTTCCTCTCTGGATTATGAGCTCCATAGGGCACGAGGTCAGGTCTACTGTGTAATGAATTGATGTCTCCTGTGGGAAGAAATGCTTCATTGTGCTGCTTGCCTACTCTGTGCCAGGTGTTGTGAAACTGGCACTTTACTGTCATAGCTAATGCTCATAACGAGACAGGCCAGTAAACTAAGACAAGTGGATTAGGGAAACTGAAGCAGAGAGCTAAACAAACTGGCAGAGTAATTCACCCAGATACAGAAGGTCACCTCCCTAGAAATGACATCTAGGCCTCAACTGCATTTCAGCTCCAGACCCAGAAGAGCAGCAAAACCATGTGGGTGACACCAGGATCAGCTGCAATGACTGACGAGCCCCTGCTCTGACAATGACCAATCAGTAACGACCAGGATTCTGTTGAAACCCTCCCCTGAGACTTCCCCTAAGATTCCCACCTGCAAGAAAGAGATAAAGCCTCCAGACAAATGACCCAGCCCATGCTCTCCCTCTGGGGAGCAGCCCCCTCACTGCTCATAATGAAACAGGAATTGGCCCACATCTCTGTCAGGTGTGCCCTCTCCTCTGCAGAGGTTCTCCCCAAAGGGGCCTGTCTTTTCACAATGGACAATTCAGCCATGCAAGAAAGGGATCAAGTGAGCAGGAAATGTGAAGGAATCAAGTGGGAACTAGGTGAACATGGGTCAACTGTTTATTCATAAAGACACCCTCATCCTTTCCAGGTATGCTTTCCTACAGGGCACCTCCAACACAGGTCCTCCTCTAAAGCTGCTTATGAACAAACAGGTAAAACCACAGAAAGGAGGGCAGGAAATAATTTAGAGATATCAAATGCTCAAATCGATGGCAGGCATGACTTCTCACCCCAACAGTTTCCTCTGTAAGTACCCTCAGCTCTCAGGGAGAACAGCTGAGGCTGCAGGGCAGGGGTCAGAAAGGAACTGAAGAGATATTAGACTGGGTCTTTATGTGCAGTCACCACAGTTTATACAAGTGTATGTAAAACATAATAAGAGTATAATAAAATATAAAATGTCACTTTAACAGCAATAAGCAAGGCCACCAAGACCAAAGACAGTAAATGAGCCAGTCATAGGAACGAGATATCAAAAGCAAGAGTGTCTGAAGTGCAAGTACAGATGTGTCTTTTAGACATTAGCACCCTGTTATGGCAGGAGAGAGAGTATTAAAGAGGACTAATATTAACTAAAAATCTGCTCTGTATTACACTTTTATTTACCAATAAGAAAAAAATATTCAGATGGGCAAAGCAGGCTTGCCTGAAGTCACACGATCTTTGAATAGCAGAGCCAGGATTTAAACCCAAGACCATCTGGTTCTGTACCAAAGTCTTTCCACCATTCCAAATTCCCAGTGAAGGAAACAAAGGGGATACCTGGTCAAGAAGCATCCATTTCAAGGTTCAGGACACTTCCAGAGATACAGGTCAATCTATATGCTTGAGATGGGGAAACATATAAACATCACCTTTATTGCATTTAATTAACTATCTCTTTCCATCATTGCACAAGAATTTTACAAGTATCATTAGGAGTCATGCTAAGCCCCTCCTTATAATGCAATTTCTAGGAATTTTTTTTTTTTATTCAAGCTTTCTCCATGTCCTCTATAGGGTCTGGCTGTATGGCCAAAACTATGATAAGCTAATAGCAATTTCACAATGTCTGGTTATTATTATATTGTGTAATAAGGAATATGTAACTTGACATCATTCTGTATACATAATTTGTTCTATTGACCATTCAGTTCAAAGCTATACATGCCATGTAGATTAAGTTTTGCATCATCTTTGCTAAATTACATATCATCACACTACAGACATGAATTATTTTGTAAAATTTTATGTATAATGATGTCTTCCACAAATTTATCAAATTACTCAGGTTTCTAGTATTTATTAAGGCTGGAGCTAATACTGAAAGCTTTTCTGTGTACACTTCATTATGGTTTTTCCACTGTTATGAATTCTCTGGTGCACAGTGAGTTGTGACTTCTGTATGAAGGCTTTTCCACATGTAGCACACTGATAGGGTCTTTCCCCAGTATGAATTCTCTGATGTAAAACAAGGTCTGACTTTTGAGAAAAGGCCTTTCCACATTCAGCGCACATGTAAGGCTTCTCTCCTGTATGAATTCGCTGGTGTCCTGGGAGGTGGGACTTCTGAGAGAAGGCTTTCCCACATTCAGTACATATATAAGGTTTTTCTCCTGTGTGAACTCTCTGATGTCCAATGAGATGTGATTTCTGACAGAAGGCCTTTCCACATTCATTGCATTTGTAGGGTTTCTCTCCAGTATGTGTTCTCTGATGTATGATGAGCTGTGACTTCCGGGAGAAGGTCTTCCCACATTCAGTACATTCATAAGGTTTCTCCCCAGTATGAATTAACTGGTGTGTGATGAGTTCTGTCTTCCTGCTGAAGGCTTCTGCACATTGAGCACATTTGTAGGGTTTCTCTCCAGTGTGAATTCTTTTATGTATAATGAGGTGGGACTTCTCACAGAAGGCTTTCCCACATTCAGTACACTCATATGGCTTCTCTCCAGTATGAGTTCTATGATGTATAATCAGTTGTGACTTCTGGGAGAAGGCCTTACCACACTCTCTGCATTCATAAGGTTTCTCTCCAGTGTGGATTCTCTGATGTATGATGAGGGGTGATTTCTGGGAGAAGGCTTTCCCACAGTCACTACATTCATAAGGTTTTTCCCCAGTATGGACTCTCTGATGTATAATGAGAGATGATTTTTGAGAGAAGGCTTTTCCACATTCAGAACATTCATAAGGTTTCTCCCCTGTATGAGTTCTCTGATGTACAATGAGATGAAACTTCTCACTGAACCCTTTCCCACATGCACCACAATCATATGGTTTCTTTCCAGTATGAATTCGTTGATGTACAATAAGCTGTAACTTCTTAGCAAAGCCTTTTCCACATGTAATACATACACAAGTTTTCTCTTTAGTTTCAACATTCTTATAATGAAGAAGGGATTGTCTAGTTAAAATGTTTTTACCATCACAGGGTATTACTCCATTTTGAATTTTCTCAAGATTAGAATTGGACACATTGTGGCTAGATGATTTTTCACATCCAAATCTCTCATCAGGATTTTTTCTTGAACCAATCTCATTACAACTAGGTAGGTCAATATTAGATTTCAAGTACTTTTTAAATTCATCATAGTTATGGGGTCTTTGTCTTGAAGTATCTGGCTCTATGAACTCTTGAAACATTTTCCCCAATACCTTATATTTATGGCCTGCCTCCACAGTCACTCTGTTGTTACTGATAACTGTTACTTGACTGAAAAGTCTGTCTTGATTTTGTGGACATCTCTGCAGCTGGCCATCAACATGACATACTTTTAAAATGGAGTACAATGAACCATCCTTTGTGACTCCTGGAAGGAAAAAGATCCAAAAATACATGATTGGGGGTTTTCAAGGTTACTCTTCCTGTCTAAAGAAAAGAAAGATAAATAAAACAATCATAAAGAACAGTTAACAGAACACAGAGGTGTGAAACAAATAATTGATCTAATGTAGATGAACTCAGAAAACAAGAGTGGAGACAGGCCATTTTGTAAGATAGTACAGCATATAGTATGATCAGGTGAATGGACATACAGAGATCTCAAAGAGAAATATTCATGGCAAAGATAGACTTGAAGAAGATAGAAAAGTGTTCATGTTATTATCACTCTAATCTTGGATTACTATACTAGCATCTTCCCATTTACACCGCCTTCTTAATGAAAACACCTTTTGCCTTTTTAGTTCATTTATTTTATAAACCATTTGATTACATATATATTATTGTCCTGCCACCACTATCTAAAGAAATAAGTACTCTCTGGTACTCAAAATACTTTACTTCTCTGTCTACATTCCTAATTAACAAATAATATAAACAACAGAATAATCTACAATCCTCTTATGGGTTCAATATCAGATTCACACCAAGAATCCAAACTTGAATTCCACTATTCCTCATAAATATCTTTCCCACATTCAGTACATTTGTCTTCTATATCAGGGGTCCTCAAACTACAGCCCGCGGGCCACATGCAAATACAAATATTGTATTTGTTCCCGTTTTGTTTTTTTACTTCAAAATAAGATATGTGCAGTGTGCATAGGAATTTGTTCATAGTTTTTTTTAAACTATAGTCCGGCCCTCCAACGGTCTGAGGGACAGTGAACTGGCCCCCTGTTTAAAAAGTTTGAGGACCCCTGTTCTATATGCATCAAATAAAACTAGCAAAGTTCACCCAGAAGAGCCATATTTCCCTAACTCATATACTCCCTCCTCCCCACCACACTACAGCAGTTTGACTTCATCTTCCTCCTTTGGCATCATCAATACTTGATATCTTTCAAAGCAGCTACTGCTGCATACTCTAAAAATACCTTCTCAAATTCTGTTGCATCTCTTTAGATTCTAATTTTCTCTGAACTTTTAAAATTGGAAGCTATATTCGATATTTAATTTTGTATAGTCATGCACCTGGAAGTCTTACCTTCTAAAGTATAACCTATGTATCTTGTATGGCCTATTAAGACTTTTCATTATATATATATATAATTATTAATAAGCTATATATATATATATATAATTATTAATAAGCAATTAAATAATTATTAGTCTTACAGGGGGAGCTATTTCTTACTGATCCCCACTCTTTCATATATATCCCCCTGTAAGACTAATAATTATTTAATTGCTTATTAGTTGAATGCCTACTAAATTCTCAGCACAGCAGCAAAGAATAAGAGATTTCAATAAGGATAGAAACATAAGCCTTGGGCACCAATCTGTTAAATAAAATAAACAAACAAGCTGATATTTCACTTCTCTTGTCTCCCATCTGCCAGATTTTTACCTGGATAAATCCAATTTGATATGTCTTTCTTAATGATCCATGGATCTTCTCCTTGTTCCAACCTGGAGATTACATCGGGTTTGGAAACTGGATGCCCTATTAAATGGAAAACACAGAGGAACTGGGATACACTATATTGAAGGAAGAAGAGAGGGTACCGTTCAAGTGTACAATGAAGCAGTCCAGGTAGCCCTCAACAGAGTAATGACCTCCATTTGGGAAGGTATGAGGATCATAAAAGTTATTATGTGTCAGGAACCATCTAACCACAACAACTGATAAGGAAAGGTATTGGATTGTACAAGTCTGAGTTATGCAGAAAGCCATCCTTACCCATTGAGACCAGGTGGCTGTAGTTCTCCAGCATCACATCCCTATACAGGGTCCTCTGAGCAGGGTCCAGTTTCTGCCACTCCTCCTGAGTGAAATCCACGGCCACATCCTTGAATGATACTAACCCCTGTAACAGTATATTCCTGTTCAATCTGAAGTGGCCATTCTTATTTCTACTAGAGCATGCAATACTATAGCTACACTTGGTTTTATATCATGTTATTTAGGATAAACAATGTAATATACTGTCATTAGCTGGAAGAGCCAGATAGACCTGGAAAACAGAAGAGGCAAATAATAAAATATCTACCTAATACAAATGATAACTTGATATATGATAAGGGCAGCATTCAAATAACTAGGAGGAAAGTGGATTATTCAATGGATAGTAGTAAAAATACTGGATAGTCAACAGGTAAAGAATAATGCTGAATCCAGGTTAAATTGTATCCCCTCGTATGTGGAAATTCGAACTCCCGATGCCTCAGAATGTGTCCTTATTTGCAAATATGTCATTGCAGATGTAGTCAGTTACATGAGGTCGTTAGGGTGGATTCTAATCCAATATGACTGATGTCCATATCAATAGGAGAAAGTTGAACAGAGGGACAGATGGACATAGAGAGAAGAGGATGATATGAAGAGACTTGCAGAGAAGATGGCCAGCTATAATCCAAGGAGAGAGCCCTGAAACAGATCCTTCCCTCACAGACCTTCGAAGAAACCAATCCTACTGACATCTTGAGTTTTAACTTCTAGCCCCCAGAACTGTGAGGTAATAAATTTCTGTTGTTTAATCTACCCAGTTTGTGGTACTTTGTTATGACAGTCCTAGCAAACTAATACACCATATCTTATGTCTTAGAAAACAGAAAAAATCCCATTCCAAAGGGAGCCAAAATTTAAATTATAAAAAATACCGAAGGCCATAAAAGTAACAGAACAAAACATGAGAGAATTTTTATTAATAATTATAGAGGAGAAAAGGCCTTTCTAAGCATAACACTTAGAAATCACAGAATGTCAGAGTTCTTGAATTAGATCATAATCGGATCCCCTCATTTTATAGAAACATAATCTTAGCTTCTCTGAAATCCAACAGTTCTACTACATATACTCAATAGCCAGTAATATAATGAAATACATCAATTGAAATAGCAATATCACAGAACAAACTTAAGAAATGTGCAGGAAATATTCATGGGGGAGGGGGAAGAACACCCCACCAAGAAATTATTGACATGGCATTAAAATGAAGGACTTGGGCAAGTGTAGAGCCAGAAGGTGTTTCTGGAGGGAGAAGTAACTATATTAATGATGTCAGCATTATGTTCACAACAGTTGTCATCTAACAGAATCTGAATGGTCTGTATTATTTTAAGCTATTTATCAGTCTTTCCTAAATATTCCATTATTATAAAACACTGCTTTCAGAATGAAAACAAATTAAATATTGTTTCAAATATCAACATTCCCTGGCTTAAAAAGCCTCCTTTGGACCCATCCTTCTGGAACATACAAATAGCTTCATCTCAATCTTATAGTTTCTCTCTTCCCACCCCACATCTCATATTCAGACCATCAAGCTGCCAATCATTTAGTTTATCCTCATAACAACTCTATTAATTTTCCCATTTTATGTTTGAGAAAACTGAGGATTACAGTGCTTAACTAACCACTTGCCAGAGGTTACACACTGAATATATGATTAATTGAGACTTAAAAGTACGTGTTCTGATTTGGTAGTTTAGGTTCTTGACCACTTCCTCCTTGCTACTGTAAACATGATCTTTTATATTTTATGACTTCAATACCACCTGTAGTCAAACTTTCCATGAAACAGCCTCCACTTTGGTTTTCCTCAAATTCTCAGCCTTCCTAAAACCACTCTGCTCTTTTTACTTTTGCAAATGCTGTTTTCCATCCTCACCCTACCTTCCTTCATGACCCAAAGTTCAATAATCTTTTAATCCTATTTCCAACTTCCTTATAAAGCTAGTTGCTTTCCCCTCTCTGCTGTAACAGTTCCTTGCACCCATATGTCAATGTTGATTTCCACTTGGTTTACCCCTTTTTTCTTCCTCATTCCTCCTAGGAAAGAACTATGCCTAACCATTCTTGAGATAGTCCTCTTTAGAGACCTGCAAATCATGTAACTGATGATGTCTGCAAGGAAGATCTGAAAAATCGGCACATCAATTCATTTAAATGGTTTCAGGCCAGGTTATCTACACATTACCTAGCAACTCTTTTTAGGATTTGATCTTTATTTTGCCTACCTTTGCCCCAATCCAAATTTTAGCTCTTTTTAACTTTTCCATTTGAATATATGAAAAACCAAATTTTTGAAATTTAAAAAATTAAAAATAAAAGCAACTCACTTGGGACTTCATCCTTTTCTGCTCTCTTCTAAAAGAACGGATGCCTGAAGAAAGCAAAACAGGTGATCAGAAGGACGTTTTCACAGACCAGACCCAGAATGCAGCTTCCGTATTCACCATTCTACAAACAACTAGGACCAGAAGTTGGGTGGATGACAGGCCAACCTGTGGGAGAAGGTCGTTGGGTCCTCACAGAATGTTCAGCAAGCACCATGTGAAGGAAGTCCTCTTCTGACCACATAGAACTTAGACAAGGTTTTTTAATTGTATAGAATGAAGATGTTACATGTTGATTTACTGACAACTTACTTTCCCACCTATGAACCAGCAATTATATTTGTAAAATGTTTTCATAAGGCATACACATGGATAGATCTCTATAAAGATTTAACTGCAGATGGAGATCCCTGGCAATAAGAACGGCAATGACCAAATGGAAAACTATGGAATGTATTTCTTTATTCCTTAGAAAGAACCAGCAACTGAATTCCAATACTCTATTATTTTTCTTCAACTCGGCAAACTCTCCTGCCAATCAATATTCATGGACCTAAATGTTGATTTCGACCTGTTTTCTGTTTAAATTTTATTGGAAGGTACATACCTGGTAAATGTTTCTCAGTCCCAGTTGGAGGCATGCAGACAGGACTGAACTGGTTCAGAGGACGTTAGCGCTCCCGTGACACGGACACTTTATCAAAACAGATCTGGAAGGAAAACCAGGAGAAAAAAATCACACCAATATCTCGGTACCCAGCAGGTACTCATTAAATGTTTCTTGAATAAAATATAAAATGATTTCAATAAATTTAGAAACAAGTAGGTCCAAAATCACACTTTTCATAATAATCCTATCCTTTTTGATTGGTCTTGTTTTAAAATGGTCATTTCTGGGGGGAGCGTCAGATTAAGGGTGCAATGATGGATTTAAGAACTCAAGTGTCCTATGACCTGTGGAAATTTTAATGGATGTAAAACCTTTTCCAGTAAATTAGGGCTGATCACCATGATGCCCTGCTACCATTACTGCTCCATCCAAATCGCTGAATCCTGGGGCTTAGCAATCACATTCCCCACAGAACTCCCCTATGCCCATCACATCACTGACCACCACAAGGACGCCCCCATCATTTAGTCCACAGCCCCCTCACCAATCACTGACTCCCAGAGTCCCCTAAACCACCGACCCAGTCATCCCCACCAGTGTGTCACCTTACGCGCCACTGCAGATTCCACAGACAACCCCGTCAATGACGCAGCACTCCCCAGTTACTAGTCTCATAGTTCACACCACCCCAGACTCCCAAGTAAACGCAGCACCAATCCCACATTCCTTCTCCGCCAAGACTTCTTAAAGCTCCAACCACTGACCCTCACGGACCCCTCCCTCCTCATTGCTAATCCGCCTTCTGACCTGCGGCTCCGTTTTCAGGTCTCCAAACGCCGGTCACGGCTCAATGAGAGGCGACTGTCACATCCAAATGGATGAACTCTCTCGCTTCCTGTCTGGGCGAGCAGAGCGAGGGGCCTCCGAGCCTGCGCCGGTCCGTACAGGGCTGCTTTGACGCCCCGCATCCTCAGCGGCTTTGTTCAGGAGGCAATGTGGCCGCCCCCGCGCGCTGTGTGCGACTGGGAGCCGCCCTGTTGAGGGGTCCCTGCAGTTCCGTACGCGGAGGACTTCCTCATTCCCAGCTGTGGTTAGCAGCGGCGGCTGTGAGGGAGGGCAAGGGACGGAAAGGAGGATGATACAATCCAGTGAGGTGCAAACTTTGCAGAGAGATTTTACAGGAGTGCTGGGGAATACTAACTGCTAAAATATTTGGGCAAAGAGCCCAGCAATGACTGAATGTTTAGAGACTTGCAAATCTGCTATCCTTTTAAAGCATTCTGACACATGCACAATTCAGGTGGCAAAGAGTGGGAGCCATACTGGCTTTAAATGTCTGATATAACTTCTGTTCAACACCCTAACTCACTTTTATTTTGTGCAGGTGCAGGGGAGCCCCTTAGAGACCCTGGATTTAAAACAAAACAAAAAACTAAGCAGAGAAATCGGTAATAACACTCCATGGGAGAAACAAATGTCACAGTTTGAGTCTAAGCAAGTTAAAAGTTTTTATACCAAAAACAAAATCTTCAGAAGGACCAGCAGAATTCAGAGACACCACATTACAGTAAATGGTCTACAATGTAGTTTTCAACCAAAGAAACAGGAAAATATGACCTAAGGAACAAAATCAGTCAATAGAGACAGATTTTAAGTGGGTGTAAATGTTATATTTAGCAAACAAAGTTATTAAAGAAGCTATTATAAACATTAAATATTTAAGGGAAAATATGATAAAAGTGAATGAACAAATAGGCAATTTCAAAAGAAAGTACATAAAAGAATGAGTTGGACTATAAAGAGACAGCAAGAGGGAATTTTGAGAATAATGGAGCTTTTTTATGTCATGATTGGGAGGTAGTTAACTCACTTTATGTCTTTGTCAAAATTTAAAGAAGGAGTAATATGTATTTTATATAAATTAAAAGACAAAAATATTCCAAGGCTGAAATAAAAATTTTACTAGATGGGCTCATTAGTAGATTTGACAAAGCACAAAGCAAAATCAGAATTGTAAACTGGTAGCTAAGTCACTACAAATTATTCAATCCAAAGAACAGTAACAACAAAAAGATTATAAAAAATTAAACAAAACCTCAGTGATCTATGGAACAATATTAGGCATTCTAGCATATAAGTAATTGGCATGATAGAAAGAGGGGAAAGAAAGAGGAAAAAAATGTTTGGAGAAATGTCTTTAAAATTACCAAATGTCATGAAAAACATTAATTTACACATCCAAGAAGCTCAATAAACCTCAGGGAGTATACCTAGACAACTAGCCACATTACCGTGGCTAGTTCACAACACTGAAAGCACAAAGAATAAAATGTTGGAAGCTGATCCAACCTACAAAAGAGTCTAACAGTTCACTAAGGCACAGAAGATAAGTTATACAATCACAGGAAGGTAAATACCGTTTAAGCTATTCAACATAGGTTTTTGAAAAGAAATAAAACATTATTTTCAAGGTTTAATCAATTGCAGGGTAGTAGTTTTACTATATTTCCATTTCTCTATACAGCTATAACCAACAGGAAAATAGTGTTTAATATTTTGACAAGAAAAGTTTAAAGGTCACAAAACAATCAGGGTTAAGAGGTTACTTCTCAGGAACCTAGAACAAAAGCCAGCCAAATTCTTTTTTTTTTTTAATATATATTTTATTGATTTTTACAGAGAGGAAGGGAGAGGGATAGAGAGCTAGAAACATCGATGAGAAAGAAGCATTGATCAGCTGCCTCCTGCACACCCCCTACTGGGATGCGCCCGCAACCAAGGTACATGCCCTTGACTGGAATCGAACCCGGGACTCTTCAGTCCCCAGGCCTACGCTCTATCCAGTAAGCCAAACCGGTTAGGGCGCCAAATTCTTTATTACACAATAGTAAATGCTGTTTAGGCCTTTCTTTTTGTTGTAATTTTCAAGCCTCATGAAAACTGTAATAACACGAAAGGTGATTATCCAATCTTCTTTTTTCCAAATAACCAGTTTCCCTTGAAGCATGGCTGCCTATCAGATAGGGCACTGGTTAATGTTGCATTAGATCAATTTGGAGGAACAGCATCTTTATAATATTACACTGTCCTGTGGAGGAAAGCTGCCTCAGCTTTTTCAAGTTTTTCTTTTTAAATATTACTCAGACGAGTTAGCTATTAGTCTTTTTTTTTTAAGGTGTTTTTTTTTTGTTTTTTTTTTTTTTTTTTTTTTTGAGAGAGAGAGAGAGAGAGATAGAGGGAGAGAGAGAGAGAGGAAGGGAGAGCAATGTCGATTTGTTGTTCCACTTTTTTATGCATTCTTGTATGTGCCCTGACCAGAGATCAAACCCACCATGTTGGTGTATCAGACGATGCTCTAACCAACTGAGCTACCCGGCCAGGGCTTAGCTATTAGTCTTCATATTTGTGTAATCTATATGCATGTGTGTGTGCTTAGGAAATAAGCCACTTGGTCACAGAATACTAATTTAAAGCACTGCAAGCCTTGATTTGCAGGCATTTTAAAGAAATCTCTAAGATGTATTTCCCCTTTCGTCATAACGTTTTACTCCCAGATCCATCCAGGGAAGTGGAAATGCTGCCCACAAGAAGTAGGAAAGGCCTTGGGCTCAAACTCAGTTTTCACAGTGCAGCCCTCACATCTTCAGTGAAATGTGATCTCTCCAGGCAGAATTCTTGCAACGGAGAAGGCCTGGTGGCTATCCCTAGGCTTGTCGCCAAGCACCGCCTGTGCCTCCCTGGGCCTGCGTCTTTCTTAAGGAGAGTATTGGGAACGGAGGTGGGGACCGCATGCGGAATCGGGTGGAACTGGCCTAAAGCCTTGAGTGCACCTGACCTATCACTGCGCCCTGTGCCCCGCCGAAGCGCAGGCATTCTGGGAGATGCAGTTTGCAGGCGGAGGAACAGGCGCCCTCTTTTGCGCAAGTGCAATCCTTGCCCTCCTAGCACGACCCCAAGGGGCCAAGTCCCTCACTTGGCTGGCCTTAGTCACAACTGGGGGTGTGCTGAGCCGAGGAAGTGGGTGCAGTCAAACAACAGGACTTTGCGGTAGGTGTGCACTGGAGTGTGTCAAAAGCTGCTGTGAGCCCTAGCCAGTTTGGCTCAGTGGATAGAGCGTTGGCCTGGGACTGAAGGGTCCCAGGTTCCATTCTGGTCAAGAGCTCATGCCCGGGTTGCGGGCACATCCCCAGTAGGGGGTGTTTAAGAGGCAGCCAATCAATGATTCTCTCTCATCAATGATGTTTCTATCTCTCCCTTCCTATCTGAAATCAATAAAAATATATTAGAAAAAAAAAAAGCTGCTGTGACCCTCCATAACCTGGTCCTTGTGCTCAAGTTAAACTGGGCGGGCGGACCGGTGGGTGGGCCCAGGACTGCGTTCTTGCGGGTACACTTGCACCTAGGTGTCCTGCCCTGCGCTCCCAAGAGTACCCAACCCTGACACTATGATGAGGAGTGCCTCTGGGGTCTGGAAAGAGAATCAAGCTTTACTGAAGGACAAATGTTCCAGATGAAGTGTTTCCATAGGTGACTAAATTTAACCTTAGAGCAACCTTGTAAGCCAGTCTTTCAAACTATGGGCAGCAACCCAGTAGTGACTATAGATGGTTAAATCTGCTTGGTGACTGAAGACCAGTATATTTATTTGCCAGTACTTTTCTTAAGTTGGGATACAATTTACATAGAGTGTTTTGCACATAATTTACAGAGAATAAAAGTGTAAAATTTGTTGTAAACTCATCAAAGTAATATAATATTTTAATCCTCCAGAAAGTTCTGCCCTTTTCCAGTCAACCCCGCCCTGCACTTGCCCCCAAACAACCAGTTTTCCAGTTTCTATCTCTATAGGTTAATTTTGCCATTCTTCACCATCATATACATGGAATCTTGCAGTATCTACTCTTGTATGCAGGCATTTCAGAAATTAAGTAAAATAGCATATATGTATCCCATATGATAAGGATTTTTATGAAAGTTATTCATATATATATATATATATATATAGAGAGAGAGAGAGAGAGAGAGAGAGAGAGAGAGAGAGAGGGAGAGAGAGAGAATTTGTGACACTGTTCCTGGTGCTGGGGGATGCAACACTGAATCAGACAGACAAAAATCCCTGCCTTCATGACATTTTAGTTTTAATTGATCTAATAAGTTTATTTTTAAAAAGGAGTAATGTCAATATATTGGTTGACTGTAGCCTATGGATAAGTGAAATGAATGGTAGCCATGTCATGAATAATGGGAGGGAGAAACTGTCCTTTAATCTTTGTCTTTATATATGAGTTTCTTGTGGACAACATACACTGCTGGTGGGAATGTAAACTGATATAGCCACTTCGGAAAACACTCTGGAAGCTCCTTAAATGACGACACATAGAGTTACCATAGGACCCTAAAAATCCACTCCTAGGTATATCCAAGAGAAATGAAAACTCATGTCCATACAAAAACTTGTACACATATGTTCGTAGCACCATTATTCACAACAGCTAAAAGGTAGAAACAACCCAAATGTCCATCCACTGATGAACAGATAAGCAAAATGTGGTATATAACTATACAATAGAATATCCTTTGGCCATAAAAAAAGAATGAAGTACATGATACAACTTGGATGAACCTTGAATACATTATACAAAGTGAAAGAAGCCAATCACAAAAGACCACATGTCCTATGATTCCATGTATACGAAATATCCAGAACAGGCAAATTCTACAGACACAAAAAGTAGACTAGTGGTTGCTTAGGACTAGAGGAAGGGATGAGGGGGTAGGGGTATGATGGATAAGGGTATAGGATGCCTTTGTGAGGCAATGCCAGTGTTCTAATATTTTCTTAAATATGTTTTTTAAAATTTATCTTTATTGTTGAAAGTATTATAGCCCAGCTGATGTGGCTCAGTGGTTGAGTATTGACCCAGGAACCAAGAGGTCATCAGTTTGA